CTGTTTGTTTGGCATAAAAACAGCAAAGAATGTGATATTAGAGCGGTATGGTGTAGTCCGGTTCAAGAACGAATGATTCATTTTTAGTGAATCAAAAGCACTCAATTATCGGACTCATTTACTGAACCGCATCAAGTAAATGTATGTATCATTTGTTACTGCGTTATGTTTGTCCGTGAAACTTAAATCAATAGTAGCCTACTGACTAGTTGTTCATTTGAACACGTTCATTTCTAGCTAGGTTTTTTTTGCAATCAGTGGAATTTTTCGTATTGTTAGTAGTAGTTTAAATTTAGTTTTAATTGAATTTATTTCCAAACATTTCTTATAATTAACATTTTAAGTATGAACCAAGATTTTTTAAAGTATGAAACCGCATTGTGACCTCATGAATATTAATGGAGTTATGCTGATGAGCAGTGGCCCTCCAAAAGCATTGGTCATTCATTTTAAAACTCAAACCTTTACCATAGTAGGATTCGTAAATTAGTCTCTGGATTATAAAATTAAATACATTGCGCAGTTGACACCTCTAATACTAGACAAGAAAACATGTATACTGTGGGGAAATCTATTTATGATTCTGGGTCGGCCAGTTAGCCATGTTGTTAGTAAGCAGGAGCCCTAAATTACTCTGTCACGATTGCGCAGCCATTATGATCAGATATATTTAGTGACATCTCCGCCAAAGTGTGATTACTCAAGAGCTCAGTCCATGAGATCTGTAAACAAGAGGGTCTCAAAAATCCCCTCAGAAGGTCAGCAGGTTTATTACAGGGAGCCTGTGCATACACATGTGACTGGGCTGTACATTTAGATCTACAGTAGCTATAAAATCCTGCAGATTTGTTTTCATCACAAAGACACCAAAGAAGAGGAATGACATTTATATTTAAATAAAATCTATATATTTTATTTTTCCTTTATATATAGTAACACATTTACCTATTAAAAGTAGTAACAGGGGAATATTTTCCAGTAGAGGTCGCCATTGTACAGATGATACTGTAACATATTCGGGCAATTTACTAGTTATTTCCCTTGTGAGTTGTACATGAGTGCATTTTTGTTTCATTCATCCATCTGCAACCACTGAAGTTCTTTATTCAGTGTCCTCTATCTATCTATCGATCTATCGATCTATCTATCTATCTATCTATCTATCTATCTATCTATCTGTCTGTTCTTCAGACAGTGGATTGATTCAGCTTGAATTATAAAGTGAACCAACCATATATCGCCAGCCATTAGCTATAAGAGTATAAAATATATTTAATGCTTAAATGGCAACATCAGACAGTGGGTGTCTAGCAGCAGTCCATATATAAAGCTGTGGTTTAGGCACAGTGGGAGGTCTGGCTTCTGTGCTGTAAAGGCACACACCCTCAGCAGCTGGAGAATCATTAAGTTCTGGAAAAATTAGGGATTTGGCATGCCACACCTTTGGATTTATTAATTTATGAACATCTTTGGAGTTCTGTTCTTTCCACAGCGCATGACCTGCTATTCATTGATTCATTATTAGAATTTTAACTGGGCTGTACTCACTGTGAACCTGATAAGGTCAAAGGTTGAGTGGAGTCAGTACAAGACATTTCAGCACCCCGAGTCCATGTACAATCCTGAATGTCAAAGATAAACTCTCAAGCTTTATGTAACCGAGAAGCTATGGCAGAGCCTATCAGCAGTTAACTCAAGCAGTCACGAGTGAATCATAAAGGTGCTGGTCTATGTTCTAGGAGCTCAAAGCCTTTTTTCACTTGTCTTCCAGGATACTGAACTTCCGACCAGGTCTAACGGAAACTACTTTATGTTTTCACATTGACATGTGATTCTCCAGAACACTAGAAACACCCTTGCCACTCCGACCTGTGCTGTTTGAACAGCTCTCTGAACCCTGCAACCAGACAAGCAAATATTTCTGACGGTAAACTGAAACTCAACCAGCAATGTCAAGCATAGACACAATATTTACCCATCCTGTTGTAAGTCATAATGAAATGCCCTTTCAGCCATTAAAATGCCCTTTTTCTGTAAAGACATACTGAAGAACTTGGCTTGCATCATATCAAGACGGTTTCTATGGCTTACGGAAAAAAAAAAAATATATATATCAATGGTAGCACAATGTAGTGTTTTTTTTTCTGCAAATCAGCACAGACCTATATCTTAACTTTTCAGTCCTACATCACAATGCAGACATGCGCGAAGGGGGAGCAGAAGTGTGAATATATCATTTGACAGCTGTATTTATTGACAGCCATACTAGAGAGAGTGCAGGCTTACAAAACAGATCCAGAGCCAATAAGACATTGCCTGTGAAAAATTAATCAGCTATAACTGTCTGTCAGACACAAGTTACCATCCATCACATCTTTGTATGCAAATGACAGCCTATATAAAGCATGTAAGGGACAATTCAGCTCTGTGCCGATGTCCAGCTCATCCTGCTGGGGTTTATTTTGCAATAATTGCGATAATTATCCTGCTTACTTGGCTATTTGCCAAACATGGTACACAAACAAATCAATTGTTTTACTAGGGTAAATTGTACTTTTGTCTTCTCAGAAACATGTATCTTCTGTAGCTTCTGAAGGACAGTACTAAATAAAATAATATGATATTATATATAATTTTATCTTCATCTGGCTTCATCTGTTCCCTTGCAGAAACTTGTAATAATTTCATTGTTTCTGTTTCCATGGAAAACTGGCTCTGACAAGTTATGGTTGCCTGTGATGCTCGGCCACACTTGTTAACATTTATACTATTTGGTTGACAGCACTTGCTAACTTAACGTCAGTCACTGCGAAAATTCACAGTCAGGTCCAGTTAAAGAGGAATTTACCTTAATGTTTAGCAAATGAGGCCCACCTGTGGATTATTGCTCATAGAAAGCAATATATGGTGCAGGTTTTCTATCCAATGCATTTTACTGTAGTGCTAAACACATTAACAAGGCTGCAAACTGAATGAGAATTAGGATTATAGAACTGAACGTGTGAAATGAGTGCAAGAGGAAGATTTAAAATGCAACCCTTAATTTCTACCATATGTTGGAAGTTGTTTTGTAAAAGAACAGTTGTTTCTGGAAAAGAACCTGGTCTCACTTAAGGTCCACGAGGAACCCAGGTACTGTTAAAGACTTTTACTTTTGAGCACTGGTGTAATTAAAGATCCTGGCCTGATGCCTCTTCAATTGGTTTTAACAGCAGTAGTTGGAAATGACAGTAGTCTTTTATCTTGTTTATCTCTTAAAGCCAGTTGCTGGCTTGTTAAACTGTGCATATTTATGTCTATTCGGCCTAACCGCATTTACAACATATCAATAGTATCTTGGCTTCAACAATAAAGCAGCTGCAAGTCCCAAATGTCAGTTTGTGTTTTGAAGCGGACTTTAAAAGTGTGTCTGCTGGAGATCACAAAAGACATGGAACCTTTAAAATGTAAGCAGAAGGGTTCAAAATTTGTGATGAGGTTTACAAATGCCTAGCACATGCAACTACAGTGTAATCCATGGGAAAGGATGTAGCTGGATAATGCCTGGCTTTTGTCATTTCATTGCAAATTAAACTTTTTCAACAAGGTTCTCATATGCTATTGTGGGATGTTTGCACAACAGTGCTCTTTATTTGTAGTCTTTGGGTATCACTGGAATATTTTGGCATCAAATGTTATTTCAAATGCTTTCCGTTAGTCACCCCCTACTGCCACTTAAAACCTTGTTGGTTTTTGCGAATGTGGGAAATCATTGCTAGAATATCATCATATTGTTGATGCAACAGTCAGTGTTTAATTGTGTATTATTGTGTGTAAATATGCACAGTATTTAAATGTACAGTACTACTAGTACTAATACAAAGAGCCAAAACTGAAACTCGATTGAGGGCCATGGGCCAAAAGCAAATGTTGGTTAATATCAAAGTATATTATATTAAAATGTATTAAATAAACATTTAAAAAATGTATAAAATAAACATTGTTTTTTACATTTCAGTGCAAAAATAAAACAAAAATATTAAAACAAAATTAGAAATTAGAAATGAACATGGCATATTTTCCCCCATATTTTTCCCTCCAGGCCAAATCAAATGCCATCATGGGCCCTGTTTTGGCCATTTCTGTACTAATAGGATTTTGATATTCTTGTTCTTGCTCACCTTCACAAATGAACACAACATTTTTATTAGTTTTAAAGTCTAAAGTCATTCGCGTAAAAAGGGAAATGTAGGCTATAAATGAACTACATTACTGTTGCATGACTTGAACGTCACCATCACTTAGCTTCAGACAGCTCTTTTATAAAATACTTTACCTGAAAGTTTGAGTTAGTAAGATAGTGATTATAAACACAGTGAAGCTGTAAGAGTTGACTAGTACGATGAGTTTTCCTGTTGGGTGTGATGATGTTTAATGTCCCCGACAGTCTCTGTAGAACATTTAGCCACTTGGTAGCAACCACCTTTTTCAAGACGGTTGAAAGCTTTAAAAAAAATCACAGTGGGGTATTACTAATATATTTTATGTTGCAGAATAAAAGTTGTGTTAACCACAGACCTTATTTCAATTAAAAACCCATTCAAAAAACCCACTTAGTTCAGGAAGATGGAACCGGAAGTGCTAAAATGCTAAGTCGTTTCTGGGTTTTAGCCTACAAAAATATTGTATGTCATCCATGTGGCACTATTTTTATACAAAATACTTGTTAAAGAGATAATAGTCATGTAACCATTGAACTAATGGCTGTACATGCTTTACCAAGGCATACAATCACATGTACTGATCTATATTCAAGTGAACTTTGGAGATAAGTGAATATAGGCCCATGTTCCAGTACTTTTAGGCCTATTTATGCATGAACAGTTAAAATAGTTGTTTAGCGATTAAGGAAAGACATGATGCAGGGTTTATGGCAGCCACATAAATGATCTGATAGACATCTTTAAAAGTGATCATACATCCTATTATAGTATTTGGAACTACTCCAAAACACCAGTCCAAATGAAAAACGGTGTCTAAACCTTTTATTAAAGAAAAAACCTGTGACAACTGCGAGAATAACAATATTAGAAAATGTTACAAGGTTTTCTGGGGATGTGGCATAAAAATCAAAGGCATTGCACTTTTTACAAAATATAAAAAATGGTTATGAAAATAAAAACATCTAACAAGCAAAAGAAAGACAAAACAGATGAATGTTCAGGTTTGAAAGATCTGGACGATGAATCACAATCTCTTATGTATGAGAGTCTCTGTTTCTCTGATTACGTATTGTGTTCTCCATGACAGTTTCTTTAGTAAACAGACAAAACATAAGAAACTAAAGGAAAAAGTGGTTCAAGACCAGCAAATTTGTGTTAAATGTAACACATGCAGTGTGGCATCACAGGACAAAAACTCATTCTCACATTTGAAAAAACACTTAAAAAATTACATAGACATGAAATTGCATTATGGATGTCTGGAAGTGCAGCAATAAAAATGTACTTTTTAAAATCTTTATTTCTGCAATAGTCAAATTTTGTCAGTGTAAGCAAATAAATTAGTATTTACAATGTCTAGGTTCTGAAAGCATTGCAAAAAAAAGAAGACATAATTTGATACTGAATTGCAAGAGTCATATAAATACTTTACACAAGTAATTATGATACAGTCTTAATATAAACATCTTCATCTCAAAGGTCTCTAAAACATATATGCTGATCAAACCCAAAGCCCCTGCTAGAATTGAGGGTTGTAGAAAAAGATGTCTCCATTACAACAACAAATCCAAAGGAGAAAAAATTCTGCACATTGTAACAATACACAGTAAGTAAAAAAATCTTGTGCAAGTAAAGCAGTTGGTGATAAAAATGCCAGAGGATGAAGTTTTGTGATTGTTTTTCCTTCATTTTGTAAAGAAATACCACATATGTAATGTTCAATTAACATTACAAAAAACTTTGGCTAACAAATACTGACTCACGGACACAAAAACATTGATTAAATGTGCTTGTAATTTAAGTTAAGTCTTTCTCCTCAGGAGGCGGTTTGGAGCCTGTTTTATATTTGTAGTCCACCAAAGTCTTTAGTTTTTTGTCAGAGAGTGTGAAAATGTGTTGTTGTGCTATAGTCTTTCAAGGGAGTCATTTCTTCTTTTTCTCAGTTATCTGAAAAGCAGAAAAAAAGTTTATTGTAAAAAGTGAACGTTTTGGCTTTGCTTTTCTTTTCCGTTAAGCTATACAATATTTTAACACATAACATAATACTAATAATTATAACATTCAAAATGTCTTAAAATAAATTAATAATAAAAATAAAATCAATTCCCATCTCTTTGCTACTAAATAAGTAATCTCAAAATGTTCACTAACAATCAGCTGTACGCATACAATACAATATAATATCATATTTTTTACTTCATTTATATTAATATTTAAATGTATTAAAATTTTAAATGAATAACACATATTTAAAAATATTTATTAAAACATTAATTATATTATATATGATTCTTATAATTATTCATGTTTTTATTTTAATAATTATTTTATTAATATGTATTATTTTATACATTATAATATAATTATTTTATTTTAACATTTTACTTTTTAATTAATTTGAATATTAATATAAATCAACTAAAATGTGTTTACACTGAGAATAGTGTGTAATTTAAATAAACGGCCACATTCTGTTAAGGCAAACTACTCACCTCGACACTCGTACTTGAGATCAGAGAAGTAAACCAGTTCTTGGGAAAACACGAACAGTCCTAATCTCCCTCCTGCAAAGGATTTATCATAAACCGGCCCCGAGTCTGCCATGATCTGTTTCCCCTCATAAACCACCACTCTGGAGAAAAGGAATATAGACCTGTTAACTCTACACACTTTATAAGATTCCCGTGGCAGTTAAAGGCCTTCCTGCTAATCACCTGATGAATCCTGTCTTGGGTCTGTGGATGAGATGCCACCTGTACGCAGTGTAATCCTTCCAGCCGATATTCTTAGGATCGTGCCACAGAGTGCGGACCTGCCAGACCACATGCAGCAATTAGTTTGAGCAAAGCTTCTCTTGAACGCTAACAGATGTTGTATTTGCTGAGCGGTCAGCCTCACCTGTCCAGGAGTGTCACCAGTGTGCCACAGGGCATTACGCAGGTGCTCCCCTGTGCCCGTGGTAGAGTTGACCACTTTCAGAGAAACTCCAGAGATGCCAAAGGCTTTTGAAGGATTAACTTCCCAGTACGTCTGAGTTATCTGCTTCCACATTACCACATAAAATCGACTGCTGGACTGATAGCCAAACACAAATCCAGCATAATCGTCATCTCTGTCAGTGTTGACGTAGAAAGTGCCACTGAAATCCACAGCGTTGAACTCATCGAAACCTGAAGAGTGATCATTAAAACGTTGAGGTCTCATTTACTCAATGACATCAAAGTCTAAGTAAAAATCATGACCAGACGGGCTACCCTGGCAGCTCACATACTCACCCACAGCAATACCAGGGTCAGAATTGGCAGTCTGAACCAACTCTTTGCCCTGATGTCTGACCACCCAGTTGGGATCAATTTGTGTAGTTCCTTTGGGGTCCAAATGCACCATCTGAAACTTCCGGAAGTCAGTGTTACTGATGGCGTCGTTCTCAGGGCACACATCCAAAATGTCTGGAATGTTGTCATTGTCAAAATCATCTTTGCAGATATCGCCTCTTCCATCCCCTGTGGATAAAGTTAGATTAGATCATCATTGATCTGTTAAAATGGTTAAATCTGCCATCCTCACTTTTTAACAACCAAAAACATATGCACATTATTATTATTATTAGTCATTAATAGTAATTAATAGCCATTAGTATTATTATAAATTCACTTTTTAAATAATAAATCATAAAATGAAGTAAAAGACAATATAATACAATATGATATAATAATGCTTCATTTATATTAATATTTAGATTTATAAAAATGTAAATGAATAATACATATTCTAAAAAATGTGATGCAACAGTCATTAAAAATGTAATTATTATTATTATTATTATTATTATTATAGTCCTACCCACAATTTAGAGTGTGATTATATTATATTATATTATTATAATATAATATTTATATTAATATTAATTATATTAATATTATAATAATATTTATTATATTATATATTTATTGGTTAATAATTATTACTGGTTTTATTATAATG